GCCAATTGCGCACAGCAGCGTCCCACAAACATTTGTGGATTGAAGTGACCAATTTTTTTTGAAGGAATTATTTATTACCCGCAGAAAAGTGATCCGCCAATCGACTAACAACCGGGTTCCTACTTACTGCTGGGTAAACAGCCGTGCGGTAGAAGGAAACTTGCCCAACATTTTGTCCTACCCGGGAATCAAACCCAGGTCTCTCGCTTGCGAGGCGAGTGCTCTTAACCACTGAGCTACAGGATTTTGAAGATCCACCAAGATGGAGGAAATTGGCTTAAAAACGTTCATCGTTACTCCAATCCTTAAAAACCGTTTGGGTTCAGAGGAGGTTTAGAGTTGCGAAGGGCAATTTTGGGGATAAATACCAGCTAGATTTTCTTTTCGGGGAAGCAATCAATGACTGGAAGAGGTTGCCAGGGATGGTGGTTCAGTCCAGAACGCTGGAGCTCATTTAAAATGACGTGATGCTTTCTCCAGATGAGATGTTAAACCGAGCTCCCTGTCTGCCCGGTCAAGTCGACGTTTAAGATCCTCTGGCGCTATTCAAAAAAAGATGGGAGTTTCTCTCTCCCGGAGTCCTGGCCAACAATCACCCTTCCACGTACCCCCCACCACCCCCACTAAAAAATTGGTCACTTACTCCGCGCCCGTTTGCGGGACACTGGCTCCCGCGTTTCGCTCACAAAATACACAGACAATCCACTTTACAGTATATTCTATGAAGCGCATTGAGATGGCTCAACGAGTTGATAGGGGGCTAATAATGATAATAATAATATTATTATTGATAAGAGGCTATGTCAAATGCAAGGATTATTATTATTATTATTTATGGACTGAAGGGCCTTCTTCAACCAAACCCACCATCTCAAATTACTGGGGATATGCTCTGTGATAAGCGAGTAATGAAATAAAACTGAAGCCAAATCAGTAATTGTCCAACAAACTAATTTATTTATTAGCCAGCCACGATATAATAATCATGAAATTGTTCAACAAACTAAGGGTACAAGTAAGACTATGAATGACAATAAATGTTCAGCAGAGAGAGAGAGTGAGACGGAGAGAGTGAGAGAGAATAGAGCAGAGCTACTGGGGGTCCAGGCTGTCTTCGCAGATCGTGTGCGGATCCCTGACTGTCCAGCGCCTTGAGACGTCCTCCCGAACGTGAAAGGCGCTGTACAAATGTAATTTCGTTGCTGCTGTTGTTTTGCCTGCCAACTTGTTAAGCGGTTGAGTTTATAGTTAGAACATAAAGACGTGCTCGGCCAAGAAACAGACCCAAGGTCCATCTAGTTCGCCTTCCACCTTCCTGGCGGTTGCACGGACACACACACACGTGTCCCGAAATACCCAAACAGTTCAAAGAAAGGAAGTGCGTTTTCCTTCTTCGAGAGAGAGAGAGAGCGAGAGAGAGAGAGTGAGAGAGACAGAGGGAAGGTGAGAAAAAAACCCTATCATGTCATTTTACATCTACAAGATGTAGATAGCAAAATGCTCCCGCCCACCCTCCCCCACACCCCAAAAAATTATCCTCTAAGGCTGCGAAGCGAAGAGCAATGAGTGGTGCATTGTACGGCAATAATAATAATAATAATAATAACCATCATAAAATTAATAGCAACATCTAACTGGAAGCTTTCCGACAGAAAGAGGGAGGGGGACGGAGGGAGGGAGAGAGAATTTTTTTTGGTGGTGGGGGCGGGGGCTTATTTACAAATAGAGATACAAACGGTGAGCCCGACTCCGAGAGAGAAAAGAACAATCGATAAAGACATTTCAGCTCGTTCGAAATACGTAAATATAAATGTCTCTTTTTCTTTGTTGTTGTTCCCAAACACGCTGGACAGGATACGTATTTAACACGGCTGAGAAAAACCTTTCAAATTGTAAAGGTCACACATCATCGACATATATATTGCCCTTATCCGCTTAAGAGACAATGGATAAAGGAGTTCTGAACACAAATAAATTTTTAAATAACAATTCCAGCTGTTGGGGTATTATTTTTTGGGGGTGGGGGGGTTGCTGCCTGCAGCCTTGAGAACCTTCCTAGTTTTTTTTGGGTTAAAACACGCTCTGCTCATCGAAACGTTGAAGTCCTGCTCTCCGAGCTGTCTGACTGTGCGCGCGTGTGTGTGTCGCCCAGCACAACAAAATGATACGCTCCCAAGAAAAAAAAATCTAAATTAAATAACATTCAACCGATTGCTTGTACGATCGCCAGCGCCACATAGGGTCAGCAGCGAGACAATTATAATAATGTGCTGTCCTTTCCACTTCATTCGCCCCGCAACCCGACCCCCCACATTCCTTATACCCCTCCGTCTGTGGTTTGTGGTCCACTTACAGACATCTGACATCAAGGGCTTGATTAATAAACCAACACTTTCCCAATTAACCTCTGTCCGATTCCACAAATGCAAAGGCCCATCTGTGTCCATCTTTGTGTAAACATTAAGTGCTGACTGACCCACATTGGAAACCTCTGGTTAGTCCGTGACTGGTACAACCCAGCAATTAAGGACAACTGTGAACACCCTAACCCCCACTCCAACGTGAAGAGAAAAAACATTTGCTTCAGTCTGTCGCACTTCGATGGAAACAGATCCGTCAGCTCGTTGACAAGGCCATCCTTGTCTTGTGGGAGATTCTTTCTGAGTGAGAAGTGGCCTCATCTCGAAAGGAAGAACAGAAGAAGCTTAAAGTGTCTTTTCCCAGTGCAGCGAGCACCCACTTTTGGTTGGAAAACTCTCTTTAAGTCTTATATCTTCCTTTTCTGCGGTAAAAATCCTTTCCCCGATTCCTTGTTTCAAGTGCAATAGGGATCAAAGCTCATCCCAGATCCTGTAAACAAATCTCTCGCGTACAGTATTTAAGGTGTTTGAAGCGCATCCTTCCATTTGCTGATGGTAGTCCGCCCAAGCTCTGAAGTTCCGCCTGCTCTTATGCATCAACGCGTTGAAGGGCCTTGAAGTTTATGATCTTTTCCAAATATTGGAAAATTGTTAAAACTTTCGAAGCTGTTCCTCTGTTCCCCCCCTTCCCCCCCCGGCACCAGCCCTCCCCCCCGCACCGTGACGGAAAGAAAGTCGGAAAAGCGGTTCACGAATTATGGGATTTTTCCCAAATTCTCCGCATTGTTACATTTTCCGCCATGTTAATTATTCCAGGCAATGCTCTTAAGGCTAAGAGCCTGAGAAATTTTGAGGCCTCTGGGGGTGGCGGGGAGATAACCTGAATGAATCCCATTAGCTTCTTTTTTGTGTACGTCTGGGGGGCGGGTGTGGTCAACCGGGTGTACACGTGCGGAAATCCAACCGTCACCGTTGCTTAAGAGTCTCCAAACCACAATGAGAATTTCACACAACCCACATACACGTGGAAATCCCAGAGATAGATTGTTGGAATGGAATGCGCTCTCTCTGTCTCTCTCTCTCTCCCAGCAGGGACGCATCCCGCTTACCTAATTCCGGAAAGTATTAGGCGCAGGTTGGCAAGAGCCAAGGCTTGGGGGGGGGGGGGGGGGGAGCCCAGAGTGTGCGTTACGGTAACTGCTGGGGTCTAACCAGCTAAAACCACGTGCCTTGGCGATTCACATTGCAGTCTGGCAGAGCTTTTCCGCTGCTTGTCCAGCTAGGACCACCCTCCCCGTTAGGGCTTTGGCTTGCGGGGTTAAGAAGAGCTGAGTGAGCCCTCAGTGACTGGTGGGCCCTTCCAGGTTCTGCCGACGAGCCAGCCATTACCATCAATGGGAGCCTGTGTGACTGGCCTGCCTCAACGTCTCCCTCCAGGCAGAGACGGGCTGGTGACAACAACCTGTGGTGTCATCAATTTAAACCCTCGGAAATGTACAAACCGGCCGAGGCCTTCTGTACCACTAGGGGCACCAGAGACAAGCATTTGGGGGAAATTCTGCCACCAAACTTAACATCCGTGTGAAACACAACACAACGCTCGGTTTTGCTGCTTCTATTTTTTCCCCGAATGGGGTTTTCCTGTAGTTCGTAAACAAAGGTTTTTTTTGACTGGAGGAGAGAGGGAGAGTGGGGAGGAGGAGGGAGGTAGAGAGAAGGTTGGGGGTGGGGTGGTGTGGGGTGGGGGGAGGGGTGGGGAGAAAAAAGAGAGAGACGGCTTTTTTTAAAAAAATAAATAAATGTCGGCTTGGCTTCTATCACGTGCAGTGGTCCATTTGGTTAAAAAAAACGCGAGCGTATGTCAGCCCGGCTCAGCTGGTAACTCGCAGTCTCGCTCCAGGTCGGAAGGGCTGTGGGATCGAACCCCACTTCGGGATTTGGATGAGGCTGACATTTGTCGGAGGTGCCGTCCTTCGGATGAGAACAAAGTTGAAACCAAAGTCCCGTGTGCCTGTTCAGGCGGACGTTAAAAGACCCTGTGGTGCTACCCGAAAAGAGAAGGGAGTTTCTCCTGGTGTCCTGTCCCTCTCTCTTCCCCCTTTCCCCGGTTCCAAGATAAATTTGGTCATTCAATTCATGGCTGTTTGCGGAGGGGTGGTGGGGGTGTGTGGGGGGAGACAGTTGCTGTGTGCAAACTGGCTGCCGTGTTGGGTCTACAAAATTCCGAGACATCAAGTCGCACTTTGCGGTGTATCCTAGGAAGCGCTTTTGAGAGGTCCTCCAGCTGTGAAAGGCGCTGGAGGAAAATCAGATGATCAAATGCAACAGTTATACTTGTTTTTAAATGAGTTTGTGGACTCGGCCGTTACCATTTTACCTGCCAGACAGGCAATGTTTGTTTGCTTGTTTGCTTGTTTGTTTGTTTGTTTGTTTGTTTGTGTCAGCGTCAATATTGAATCGTGGCTTCCAAGAAGGAAGCGGTGTGTATGTACATATGTGTGTGTGTGTGTGTAGAAATTGTTCTGCTTCCTAAGGCTAAGGTGCGAGGCAGATGAAAAGATACGATGCTTTAGGGATTGATGATGGAGGGAGTTGGGGAAGAGTTGCCACAGGGAGTTGGGGAACAACTTCCGACAACCATTTATTCCCTGGGTGATTGACAGAAAGCCTGGTTGACTACGCCTTGCGGTGAAAAGGTTCTTTTTCTTTTTAAGCTAAACAAAAGAGGGGTGGAAAAAACAACCCACAACTTTTTTTTTCTCCTTTCACAGCAATTATACCGGAAAAAAGCATTCACAGTGACCTCCCCACCTCCCCCACTCCTCCTACCCAACTCCCCTTCCTCTCAGTCCCCGAATTCCGGTGGGAATCTTCCTTTGAAATTCTCTCGCTTTACCGTGACATCTCCCTCCCCTTCCTCCCTCCCCCTCCCTTTCCTCCCATCACCGTGTAGCGTTCCCCCCCCCCCCCACCCCGCCAATCCCCCTGCCCCGACGGCTTATTTCGTTCAATATGGCCGCCACACTCCCTCCTCCAGCCTGGCCGTGGTGCTCATGTTTGTTGGCGAGTTGCTGTGGCTGCCGTTGGTCTCCCCCACCTCGTTCTGGTTGGGGAGACTGGGGTTCAGGAGGCTGGAGCCTGTCGATGCGTTGGTGCAGGGTGGCAGGATGCGGGGGGGCGAGCGATCGCCCCCGGACATCATGGAGAACTGGTAGGATCCAGCCGAGGTGCCGTAGTAGAGGTGGTAGGGGGCTGAGCTGGTCTGGAAGTGTCCGCCTTGCCCCTGGCCGGAGCCCGGGTAAGGGGGAGGCAGGTAGGTGTGATAGCGAGCGGCGGTTGTCATGGCAGACATTCCCAGGCCGATCCCGTTGGTGACCGGGGTCGGGGTGTAGGCGAAGGCTCCTGGGTAGTGCATCCGAGGGTCTGGGAATCGGCTGTCGGAGAGAGGGGGGAGGGCCGAGAACTGCCGGTCAATGCTCATCCTCGGATCACCGAACGCCGTCAGGTCAGAGGCGACTGGAAGGAAAGCGAAACGGGCCGATGAGTATTCCGCTGGCAATCCTGCCCCAACCAACTGCCTGCTCCACTTCCACCTGCCCGCGCGCGCTCCGTCAGCGGGCTCCGGCCTGCTCCACAGCCCGACCCAGCCCGCCATTGGCTGTCGGGTCTTCAGCCTCTCTGCACCACCCGCCAACCCCCCCCCCCACCCTTTGGTCACTTCAATCCGCGGTTGTTTGTGGGGACACTGCTGTGCGAGATTGGCTGCCGTGTTTTGCCCACAAATGCACAGTCACTATACTTTACAGTATATCTCGTGAAGTGCTCTGAGACGTCTCGATAAGGCGCTGTATCAAATGCCAGTATTCCTATCCCACAGTCCCTCCGCCTCGCCCCTTCCCTCTCCTCCTTTGAGACCCGCCTCAAGATCCTCCTCTTCGACTGCACCTTCGGTCACCCACCTACCCACCCTCCCCGCCCTCTTGATCCCAACCCCAACCAGATCGGGTCCAAATGTCTAGCTGTCCAGCGCCTTGGGACGTCCTCCCGACGTGAGAGGCGCTTTACAAAAACAACAAGATTACATTTACACAGTCCATTGACTTTACAGCACATCCTGTGAAGCACTTTGAGATGTCTCGAAGACGTGAGGAGGCGCTAAATCAAAGGCGAGGGTTATTATTATTATTATTATTATGAACTCGCGCAAATCTGGCAGACGCGCCAGGGGCAGTGCTGGACATTGTCGGAGGCGCTAAAGCCATTTAAGCACCTACCGGAGGATTCTAAATAAATGAAGCTAAAAGAGCTTGTCTGTTGTCTGCTCTTTCTCAACGTGCTCTAGTCACATCCAGACACCCTTTGAAGCGAAGGGAAAGCCAGAGCAGACAGACAAGACAAGATGTCCCAGTTCCTGGCCTTGCAAGTGCACATCTCCCGAAATAAACCCAAAGTATGCTTCAGCGGCACGAGCCAGGGTCGGGCACGAGCCAGGGTCGGGCACGAGCCAGGGTCGGGCACGAGCCAGGGTCGGGCACGAGCCAGGGTCGGGCGAGTCAATTCGCGATCGGAATCAGTTCATTATGTGGACCACGCAGGAAGGAGGCCATTCTGCACAGGGATCCTTTCGCCAACGGTGAGGCCCATTAACCCGCGCAGTGTTTCCGTATAATCTAACGACGATAACCCTTGCATTTGCATTGCGCCTCATTACGTCTTTGAGCTAGTCTCGAGCGCTTCACGGGATACACTACACCATCAAGTGTACTGGCCGTGTGTTTTGTGGTCGCAACGCAGTGCAGTGGCAGCCAGTTGCGCAGAGTAGTGTCCCGCAAACAGTCGGGGATTGAGTGGCCGATTTATTATTATTTCCATGACCCCCGCCTCACCCGCCCTGCCATTGCCTTCAGCCTTTGGAACTCCATTCCGCACTCCCTCCTCCTCGCCCCCTCCGTCGCCTCCTTCAAGACCCGCCTCAAGACACTCCTCTTCGACCGTGCCTTCTGTCACCCGCCTACTCTCTACCCTCCCCGCCCCCCCCCTCTCCTGATCAAAAACCCCAGCTCAGGTCCAAATCCCTGACTGTCCAGCGCCTTGGAACGTCCTCCTGACGTGAAAGGCGCTGTGCAAATGTCATTGTTGCTGTTGTTTCCGACACTGTACCCGTGGCTAAAAATTCCATTCAGCCGTACCCGTTTTCGGCGAGACGGGATTATAACGAGAGAACAATTCCCTTTAGCGGCTTTCGACAGTGTCGAAGTTTATTCAACGCTGAGCGGACTTTTTACCCCACATTTCTGCAGAATGGCTGAATCTGATATTATCACCACTACTACAATAATCCTTGCATTTGATATAGCGTCCTATCCTACCTTCGAGACGTCTCAAAGCGCTTCACAGGATATACCGTGAAGTGAATTCACTATATATTTTGTGGGCGAAACACGGCAGCCAATTGCGCCAGCAACATCCCACAAACAGTCGTTGAGTGGATTGACTGACCAATTTATAATTTTTTTTGAAGGGATTAATACCCTCTGAAAAGTGATCCACCAATACTAACAATCGGGTTTCTACTTACTGCAAGGTAAACAGAGGCGTGTGTGTGGAGTAAGGAAACTTGCCCAACGTTTCGCCCCCTGCCCGGGAATCAAACCCGGGTCCTCTCGCTTGCGAGGCGAGTGCTCTAACCACTGAGCTACAGGACTCCATGTTAAACATTATTGTTTAGATGTGCGGCGATAAATTTACTGCAGGCCAGAAGAAGGGGTTAAATCAGCTGCATACTCTGTGTGGTTTGTTTATTGGAACGGGCTTGAGCCCGCACAGTCACCAAACTGGCTGAGCTACTTGTACATTATTGTACATCACCATAGCGCTGGGCGTTTTAAAACTCCCAACAGACGCCTTACATCTGTATTGACACATAAAGTAGCCTTGAGACAACTTAATGCACTGTGCAGCACTGAATCATCGAGTGAGTGCTTTCCACGCCTGCGCATGCATGTGTGTGTGTGTGATCAGGCAAGAGCACATACAGATCGTTTTCCGGGGTAATAATCCCTTCATATATATATTAAAAAAATCTCACTCCATCCACGACTGTTTGTGGGACACTACTGTGCGCAATTGGCTGCTATGTTTCGCCCACAAAATACACAGTCAATTCACTTTACAGTGTATTCTGTGAAGCGCTTTGAGACGTCTCGAAGACGTGATAAGGCGCTGTATCATAGAATCGTACAGCACAAAAAGAGGCCATTCGGCCCATCGAGTTTGTGCTGGCTCTTTGAATAGAGCACTATCCAATGCAAGGGTTATTATTATTATTATTAACATTATAAGACATTAAACTGAGGTCCCGTCTGTCTGTTCAGGTGGACGTTAAAGAATCCATGGTGCTATTGAGAAAGCGTAGAGCAGTTTCTCTCGGTGTCCCAGTGAAAATGAATGTTTCTCGGGCTATGAGGACTCCTTTGTAAAGTTTTGCTGGAGGGGGTTGGGGATCAACTGCTCACACTGACACAACGTGTACTTTTTCTACCTGCGTTAGAAGGATTTAATGCCTTAAGGAACCAAAGGCTGAGTGTGTGCTTTTTTTTACACACACAAGCAGCCAGTTAGACACAATCCTTGCTCTGACTCAGATTAATGTGATTCGCGATTTGGCAATAACACCGGATTTTTTTTTCTCCTGCTTCACAGGTGACAAGTCCTCGTGATGTCTGACAGACAAGGTGTGGCGGCTGGGCTGCTGAAACCAGACGCAGGGAAACAAGCCCAGGGAATGACTTCCTGCCAAAGCCCCAGCAGATAGCAGCAGACGTTAATGAGTTCTGAGGTTATCTACGTTTATTTTCCAGGGACAAATCCAGATGAAAGAGCAGCCTTCAATTAAACAGCCCAGCCTTGCGAAATGACGCTTATTAAACTCTCAGCCCATAAACTACACTAACTGTTATTTTACTTCACCTCCAGAATTACCCCAAATCAACCAGTTTTGTCTGAGCTTTTACTTTACAGCAGCTGAGCTTCCAGCGAGGCTGTGATATAATAATAATAATAATAATAATAATAATAATAATAATAATAATAATAATCTTTGCACTTGATTTAGCACCTTTTCATGTCGGAAAGACGTCTCAAAGCCCATCACGATTTGTGCTGTAACGTGCAGTGAATTTAGAGGCAAGCACGATAGGCAATTTGCGCACAGCAATGTTCTCACAAATAACCACAGAGTAAGTGACCAGTTTGATTTGAATACTGCCACGGAATCTTTAACATCCACCTGAACCAGGCAGATGGCATCTTGGTTTAACATCTCATGTGAAAAATGGTACCTCTAACAATGCAGCGTTCCCCTAATACTGAATTAATAATAATATTATTATTACTAGCATTTGATAATAGTTCCTTATATCTTCGAGACGTATCAAAGCGCTTCACAAAATATACTGTACAACAAGGGCAACAAAATTACATTTGTATCGCGCCTTTCACTGTAAAGCGAATTGAGTGTATATTTTGTGGGAGAAAAGCGGCAGCCAATCGCGCACAGTAGCGTCTCACAGGACAGTCGTGGATTAAGTGACGCAATTATTATTTTAAAAAATATCTTTTTTTTGGAGGGGAAAGCGATCCGCCAATCGACTAACAACCTGGTTTCTTACTTACTATTGGGTAAACAGAGGCGTGTGCAGTAAGGAAACTTGTCTACCATTTCGTCCTGCCCGGGAATGGAACCCGGGTCCTCTCGCTTGCGAGGCGAGTGCTCCAACCACTAAGTTACAAGACTCCTAAACAATGAGCTCAAAGGCTCGATGCTCAAAGTCTCGAACTCAGAGGTGAGAGTGTTACCGATTGAGCCAGGCTGGCACCTGGATGGCTGGAAGACTTGAAATCTGACAAGAGTTTCCTCTCTGGAGCCACTGTTTAACAGTGGGATTAGTCTCTCAACAGAGTGTCAGAGTACTTTTGTCTACTTGTTTATTTGCTTTGTTCATCTTCCTTTGCTCCTCTCTGACCCCACTCCTGCTGTCACTCTCTCAGCTAATTCCGGCTCGCTGAGTATCCCCTTCCCCCCCCTCTATAATTATAATAATCTTTGTATGTGATTCAGCGCCGTATCATGCCTTCCAGACGTCTCAAAGCGCTTCAACGTGAAGTGAATTTACTGTATATTTTGTGAGCAAAACATGGCAGCCAATTGCGCACAGCAGTGTCCCACAAACATTCGTTCAGTGGATTGAGTGACGAAATTATTATTATAATTTTTTTCCATCCTGCCCAGGAATCAAACCCAGGCCCTCCTAGCTTGCGAGGCGACTGCTCTAACCAATAAGCTACAAGACTCCAAGCCATAGTCCCTACACTTCTAACCTCTCTCAACCTCTCTGAACATCTATACTGTGTACACAGACCTGTGTTGTACGTCAACCCGCGTTTGTACACCAATCAAATTAGTTTCACAGGGGCCTCTTAACTGCAACATAAATGATTTCTGTAGTTCAGCATTTAGAGCATTCGCCTCGCAAGCGAGAGGACCTGAGTTCGATTCCCAGGCGAAATCTTGGGCAAGTTTCTTTACTCCACACGCCTCTGTTTACCTAGCAGTAAGTAGCAACCGGTTGTTAGTTGATTGGCGGATTGCTTCTCTGGGGGTAATAATGCTTTCTAAAAACATTTTAAAATGTAAGAATTTGCTCACTCAATCCACGACTGTTTGTGGAACACTGTTGTGTGCAATTGGCTGCCAAGTTTCGATCACAAAACATACAGCATATTCGGTCACATGCTTCAAGACTTCTCGAAGATGTAATAAGGTGCTATATCACAGAGAAGCATTATTATTATTGTTAGTTTTCTATTATTGTTATTAGTTCTCAGACCTGCTTTATTTGGTCCTAGGACATTGTTTGAGCCTTTTTGTTAACAACGAGGCAAGTTTGTACCTAAGGTTCCCAAAGCTTTCCACTGAGATGGTAGACTAATCCGTAGAGTATCAATTACTATTAACATCTCCATTATTGTAGCATGTGACTACCAGGACGGTAGGAGATGGACTAGATAAGCCTTGGTCTAGCAGTTCCTATGTTCTATGTTCCTACGTAAAGGAGCTTCCGCTGAACCCCGATGTATACACATTTCAAAAGGGAAAGAGAGGGTAAGTTCCACGACAACAACAACAAATTACATTTACACAGCGCCTTTCATGTTGGGATGATGATCCAAGAGGCTGGACAGTCAGGGACTTTGACCCGAGCTGGGGGTTGGGATCAGGAGGGTTGGAGGGCAGGTGGGGGAAGGGGTAGGAGGTTGACTGAAGGCACGGTCGAAGATAAGGGACTTGATATGTCCCTTAAAGGAAGTGAGGGAGGGAGCGAGGCGAAGGGACTGTGGGATGGAGTTCCAAAGGGTGGATGGGGCAGAGAGGCTGAAGGCCCCATCACCGAGGATGGGCCTTCAAAGGCTCACTGTGAGTCCTGAGATGCGTTACTTTAAACTGACGTTCTCGCACTTTACCTGAGAGTCTGCTGGAAATCTCAGCTGTTAAGGTGGGCATCCCACTGGCTCGGGCAGGGGAGATGGGGGTTGCAGGATGGACAGAAGGCGTGGAGATCTGTCCAATGTAAGGGTAGGATTGGTCGTAGGTCCACGGTGGAGAAGGCTGTACTTGCCTGGTGTCTAGAAAAAAAAGGAGCACAACAAGTCTGTTTAATAAACAGCTAACTCTACTGTACAGTCCCGTAGCATATTTGTTAGAGCACTGGCCTCGCAAGTGAGAGGACCCGGGTTCGATTTAGGGCAAAAACCTTAGGCAAGTTTCCTCACTCCACATATTTCTGTTTGTCTAGCACTGAGTAGGAACCCAACTGGTTGCTGAAAAGAAATGGCTGTTGCATTGTCGGAGGTGCCGTCACTTCAGTTGGGACATTAAACACGGTCCCGTCTGCCTATTCAGGTGGATGTCAAAGATCCCACGACACTATTCACAAAGAGAAAGGATTTTCTCCCGGTGACCTGGCTAACAAGGCCTCCAAGTACAAACGAGTCGTTGTGGGACATGGCTGTGTGAAAATTGGCCACCTCATTTGCCTACAAATACAGTCACTACACTTCACAGTCTGATGCGTAGTGTAAAGCGTTATTTATCAAATGTAAAGATTATTGTTATATTGTTATTATCTATCATAAAAGATCGAGAGAGGGATTGTGATTACCTTGTGTTTTACTGATTTATCAGCTGACCTTCCCTTAAAGCTGCTTGAAAACTTGCATAGAAAGTGCATAATTGAGCCGTGGTATCAATAAAATATTTATTTTAATTTCAATAAAAATAAAACAAGCATAATGCCCTCAAACAGCATAAGAATCTTGCAACTTGCCGGCGATTGCCATGAAATTGAAACAGTTTTCATTTTATTTATTTTTTGCAAAGAAAGTCCTTCAATTATGCAGCACAATCACAAGAACAACAACAACTTGCATTTACATAGCACCACCTCATGCAGGGTAGCGTCCCAGAACGCTTGACAGTGGTGGAGCATGACACTGAGCAGCGGGCGGGGGGGAAGGCGACTGTAGGCACGGTCAAAGGGGAAGGTCTTAAGATGCAGCCTGAAGATGGGGAAGGAGGGATAGAGGAAGAATGTTCCAGAGTTTTGGGGCGTAGAGTGAGCCTGGACAACATGAGATCAATGTCCCTTTGTGGAAGCTTGAACCCACAACCTTCCCACTCAAAGGAAAGGAGTGCTACTACCTGCAAAGGAAGCTTATCTCTGAAGCTTCACCTACTCATCAAAACCAAAATACTTAAAATTAACTGGCCTGCTGCCAAAATGGAGCCATCAATCTCTCTGGAGCATACAAGTTTAATGCAAAAAGCACCACACCTAGATTCTGGCACACACACACACATACACACACACACACAGAGACATCGATTCACAACTACTCAGATCCAAGAAGACAATCCCTTGAGCTGTCTCTTATCAGAGCTTCATTGCACACAATGTCTTGCTGAGCTTGTCTGGTGCCAACTGAATAGTGAGTGCACTGCAATAATAATCCTTGCATTTGATATAGCGTCTTATCACATCTTTGAGACGTCTCAAAGCGCTTCACAGGATATACTGTAAAGTGAAGTGACTGTATTTTATGGGAAAAATGCGGCAGCCAATTGCGCACAGCAGCCAGCAAACAGTCGTGGATTGAGTGACCAAATTATTCTTAAATTGGAATTATTATTTCCATTATTATTAGGAAGCACAGGAGGAGAGAGAACCCTTACAGCTTCACAACAAGGGAGTCTACGATTAAACCATCACGAAACTGACCTAAAGACTAAAACTTCATTTCCTGAGGCCCTTGCTTTGCAAATGGATTGAGTACATTTGCGTACACCTGCTTCATGCAACATTAAATGTCTGGTTGTGGAACCCCGTAGCATATTGGTTAGAGCAATCGCCTCGCAATCGAGAGGACTGTAGGGGTTCTCTCTCCTCCTGTGCTTCCTAATAATAATGGGAATAATAATTCCATTTGATAATAATTTGGTCATTCAATCCATGACTGCTTGTGGGACTCTGATGTGCGCAATTGGCTGTCGCGTTTCGCCCACAAAATGTACATCAATTCACTTTACAGTATATTGTGTGAAGCGCTTTGAGTCATCTAAGTGACGTGATAAGGCACTACATCAATGCAAGGATTATTATTATTATTATTGGCGGAGAGCTTTCTAGATGCTGATAAGCAAACAGGGTTAGGTGTGCATTTGTTGAATGAACAAGTCCATTTCTTACTCTATTCCTGAACAACAAAAAGAGTCAATCATTAAGGGCAACAGAGGCATCGCAAGTCACAGGACAATGGATCTGAAGCCCTGACATTTGTTGAATTGACCGTATATTTGTGGGCGAAAAGCGGCAGCCAATTGCGCACAGCAGCGTCCCACAAACAGCCGTGGATTGAGAATGACCAATTTATTATTGTTTTGGTTTTGGAGGGATTATTATCAGGCGTGTGGAGTAAGGAAACTTGCCCAAGGTTTCGCCCTCTGCCTGGAATTGAACCCAGGTGTCTCACTTGCAAGGTGAGTGCTCTAACCACTGAGCTACAGGACTCCTATTGTAAAGTGGATTGACTGTGTATTTTATGGACAAGATAAAATTGGCAGCCAATTGCGCACAGTAGCGTCCCACAAACAGTTGTGGGTTGAGTGACTAAATTATTATTAATATTTTTATTTATTATATTTTGGAGGGATGATTACCCCCGGAAAGTGATCCACCAATTGACTAACAACCATGTCGCTACTTACTGCTAGGTAAACAGAACATGTAGAGTAAGGAAACTTGCCTAAGGTTTCTCCCCTCATAGGAATCGAGCCCGGGTCCTCTCGCTTGCGAGGCAAACATTCTAACCAGTATGCTACAGGACTCAAAAAATGCTCAGAACACGAGAATTTGGGGATTGCAGATTCCAGTGTTTCTCATAGTCGCTTCTGCCAAAGACCAGAGTCAAAGCGTCGAATGCAGAAACTTTTCGATGCAAGAATCAATGAGAGAGAGAATCTAACAATCATTAACAGCTACATTTTATTTTAGTAATTGGTTCATTTTTCAACCAGAAATAATTCTCGTTGCTCACATCCCCGCCCCAAAAAATCCTCTGTTGCAAAAAAGATAAACCGTGAACATAAGCACATAAGAATTTGCTAGGCGAAAGAAGACCAAGGTCCATCCAGTTCGCCTTCCACCATCATAGAAACACAGAAACAGGAGGAGGCCATTCAGTCCCTCGAGCGTGTTTCACTAATCTATAAGGTCATGGCTGATCTGTACCTCAACTCTAATTACCCTTTACACCATATCCCTTGATACCCTAAGCTAACAAACATCTAGCCACCTGGCAGTCACCTGCACAAGTCTTGTCCCAAACTATATACCGTATCCCAAGGTATTATTTCCTAACAGAAATCTATCTCATTTAGTTCTGAAACAATCAACACTTTCTGCTTCCACCGTCTCCCCCAGGGAGCCTGTCCATCAGTGAACTACTTCCTCTCTGAAGTAGTGTTTCCGCAGATTTGTTCTGATCAATTACCCATTTGATAAGAGCTCATTCACAGATTCACAGAGCTCATTGTAAGAGTGCACAGGCCTTTTGGCTTGACATTAAAAATAATAATAATAATAAATTGGTCACTTCAATCCACGACTGTTTGTGGGACACTGCTGTGCACAATTGGCAGCGTTTCGCCCACAAAATACACAGTTAATTCGCTTTACAATATATTTTGTGAAGCGCTTTGAGACGTCTGCGACAACAAATTGGACTTATATAGCGCCCTTCACGCAGAATAGTGTCTCAGAGTTATAAGGCGCTATATCGAATGCAAGGACTATTATTATTATTATTTACAGCTGTAATAAAATACCGGTCACACATCCCTGTGCTTGCTAAATTTTGTAACAATGGGTGTAAATTTATAGGAAGGGGGAGTGAAGACTCAAAATGTTTCGCAATTGAATGTGGCTCAATTTCGTAGCACTCTTGTCCCTGGGTCAGAAGGTTCAAATCCCAATTTGAGCTCACGGTTTTGGTTGCTGTTCGTGTTCAGTACTGTGTGAGGGGTGGGGGTGGGTGGCAGGGGGGTGGAGAGGGGAAGTGTCAGAGATTCATTCCTTCACTTTCCTGGGCAGGGCGAAACATTAGATAAGTTTCCTTACTCCACACACACATCTCTTGTTTATCCAGCAATACGTAGGAACCTGATTGTTAGTCGATTGGCGGATTGCTTTTCTCAGGTTAATAATCTCGGCAAAAAAAAATAATTTAAGAAATAATAATTTGGTCACTCAATCAAACCACGACTGTTTGTGGGACACTGCTGTGCGCAAATGGTTGTTGCGTTTCGTCCACAGAATATACAGTCGATTTACTTCACAGTATATGAAGTATATCCTGACCCAACTGTCCAGCGCCTTGGGACGTCCTCCCGACGTGAAAGGCGCTCTATAAATGAAATCTTGTTGTTGTTGTATATTCTGTGAAGAGCTGTATCAAATGGAGTGTATCAAATGTAAGGAATATTATCATTATAACCAACATTTAGCATAATAATCAATGCATCTGATACACTCCATATAAGACTGAGACGATCAAAGTGCATCACAGATATTTTGTAGGAGAATACAGTAGCCAATTTGCGCATGGCAAAGTTCCCACAAATAGCCATGAGGTTGAATGAGCAATTTATCTGTGGAATTGTCAACCAGAACACCGGGAGAAATTCCCTTCCCTTTTCGCATAGCGTCATGGGAAGGCAGATGGGAATCTCGGTCTCATTTCAAAGACGGCATGTTGTTGTAACAGCGTTCCTGTACAAAATTCCGACCTGTCAGGCTTCCTCTTTTTACACGGGTGCAATTAGCGAACGCAGGGAAGAGCGAGTGCCGGTGGGGGAGGAAGGGGAAGGCCCATAGCGTCTAAAAACTCATCTAATTCAGAGAGTTAATAATAATAACAATTATTGCATTTGACATAGGGCCTTATTGTGTCATTGTGACGTCTGAAAATGCTTTGCACAGTTCATTCTAATTGGGATTGACTGTGAATTTGTGGACGAAACGCGGCAGTCAATTGCGCACAGCAGCGTCCCACAAACGGTCGTGGATTGA